CTCTGCTTCAGCTCCCGGGGAAGGCTATCATGTAGGATTAGCAGGGGCCATGGCATTCATTTATTGAACTAATATTAATTGAGCACCTGCTTTGTGCCAGGCTCTTCGTGTTTTAGATGCTGAGAGTAGATGGTTTTCCTGCCCTCGTAGGGCTTACTTATGTTCTCATGGGAGGGGTCAGGGTTATAGACTGTCGGGCCACAAAGGCAAAGATGCTTCTTTTCCAATGAGAATCCCCAGTTAGAAGATCAGGACCAAAAAGTTTTGCAGCTTGAGCCCGTCGGCTCTTGTCATTGATGAAGCTTTTGGCTGCTTCATCTGTTTGTTTATCTGTTAGTTATTCACTCAGCCATTATTTATTCAGCACCATTATCTTTCAGGAAAGACAATGCTGAGGTCTGAGAATCCTCCAGTGAGCAAAGCAAACACAGTATCTGCCTTTGAGGGGCGTCCAGTTTAGTAGGGAGCACATCTGTAAATAAGTAACCAAATCTCATATTTTATTGTCTAATGTCATTTTATCAGTGATGGCTGCTGTTTAAAATAATATTTTGGATATGCACAAAAATCAGCTGAATAGATTTTTATCTGTAACAAAACTCGTCAGGAGGCTCAAAATGGTGGCAGTAGTGGTGAGTTGTTTTTATTCCCAGCCTTAGACCCATGTTGGCTAAGACACACACATACAGTAGACTCTCAATGCATATTTGCTGGGTGAATAAATGAGCAAAAATATATTTGGCTGCTCATGTGTTGAACAAATAAATGTCCTTGAAGGGATAATTAATTTTCCTATAATTTAGAAAGAAATCTCAGACTCAAAGTGTGACGGCACCTGGTTGGCAGTGTTAGTGGGAAATGGGGAAATATGAAGAGTGGTGAGGTCTGAGGAAAACTAGAACTGCTCCACTTCACCCAAATGAGGGTGAAGGCCCAGGTTTCCAGATCCATCTTTTTTTTTTTTGGAGACCAATTCTCACTTTGTTGCCCTCAGTAGAGTGTAGTAGCATCATAGCTGACAGCAGTGAGTATGTCGCCTCAGCCTCCCGAATAGCTGGGACTACAGGCATCTGCCACAATACCCAGGCTATTTTTTAGATATGGGGTCTCGCTCTGGCTGGGCCTGGTCTTGAACCTGCCTCGGCCTCACTAGGATTACAGGCGTGAGCCACTGTGCCAGGCACAGATCTGCCTTTTTGTTTTGCTTT